GCTTTGCGAGTGGACCAAATTTCACAGCCATACAACAAATTAGCCCGTACTGTAGCCTGGTATACACCTCCTTTGAGATTCAGGGACAGACCGCTTTGACACCATAGGTGTCTCAAATTTGCAAACGTGACCCGATCTTTGAAGATTCGTGCATTGAACTCATCTGTCACACTACAGCCAGAACCAGTACAACTTCCAAGATACGTAAAACGCTCCACAACTTCGAGTTTCCCCTCCATGGGTTGTGAACGGCGTGTTCAGTGACTGCATTTTCAGGAACATGACCTTACACTTTATGCATACCAAAGGACGAGATGACTGGTCAGTTCATCCAAAAACCATCTGTGGCTTCCCTTCAAAGACGAGAACGATGCCGTCCGCATATTCCAGACCAACGAGATTTTCGTCAGAGGCTATTTGAACACGGATTTTGAAGACCCTCCAGTGCTTGCCTCATTCATCGATCAGGAAATGAAATAGGATTGGAGAGAGTGCACACGACTGACGGACTTCGCTTCGTGTGCGGAAGCTTTTGCAGAGCTCTTTGTATACTCTCACACGTCCGGAAGTTTGATAATACGAAGAGCTCATGATGTTCACAAGCTTCCGGGGAATTCCGTGCTGGGCAAGTGTGTCAAAGAGAACAGACCGATCAACCGAGTCGAGTTCGCCTTGGAAATCTAGGAATACTAGAATTGTGGGTTGTTTCTGCGTTTGACGTTCTTCTAGCACCTGACTGAGTGTGGAGATTTGGTCAATACAATACCTATCCTCTTGCCGCTCTCAAGTCAGTGTTTTACGAACCACCGTAGAGCGACGAAGCCTAAGTGACGTCAACAGTCACGGTACGACCGGGGTTAAGCTGACCTCTCTCTCGTTACCTCACTCACTACGATCCCATCTTTTGAGAGTGCGCACCATCATTGCCGCTACCCCGTTGTCTGAGACAGTATATTTTTCCAAAATGCAGACGAACAGATCACACAAGCGCTGCTTAAGGACTTAATCACTATTTTTGAAAACTGTGGGTGGAAGGTCGTCCGGATCAGGAGCTCGGTGGCGCTTGAGAGAACACATGCAGTCCTAAACCCCCGAGGCCGTAAGGGGTAAGCTAATCTGGGTACACATGTTGAATCGTCGTCTGCCGATAAATGCTTTGTTTTCCGTGTCCAGTTCTGTTTGGTAAAGTATCACTCAGGAGGATGGGGTAAAGGATTTTGCTGAAAGTATGCATGCTTCCAGAATTGAGCCCTTACATCGCCTGGCCAGAGACATTAAAATAGTGAACAGTGTGTAGTAACGGTATTTTCCTCAGCTTAGTTCTCGGTCTGAGCCTCCCAAGCTAGCGTTCACGTCAAAACAAACACCAAAGGTGCACAAGGTCTATTAACGCCCAAAACGAAATCAGGAACAGTTGTACAGCGCTTCGTATATATAGCGTAAGC